TGTCGCATAAACAAGTTGACCCGAAGGGCTGAGGCTGAGACTGCTGCGACGAAAGCTTTAAGAAACAATCTCTCCATTTTCATACATACACTCAAGAAACACTCGAAATTGTAGCTTAAATTAACTGAAAGTTGGAAGGATTAAGTGAGTTTAAGTTGATTTCTTTTTATTAGGAAAAATAGAGGTTTATTTTAAAATTATAATTTATACCATAAACCTAAACCATCTCAGTTTAAGTAATCCTATAAAAATGTTTACATATATAATATATTAATTTTTATAAAACTTATTTCAGAATTTGTCTAACTACAACTTTTTTAAAAAAATATCAAAACAAATTCAAGCTACTTCCTGAAACCAGGAATGTTTAATCATTAAGGCTTAGTACTCAACCCAACAAAAAGTCGTCCAAAACAAAAAACTTCATATGAAAAACAACGTCAAAAAATTTTGTTTCATATGAAGTTTTTGTTTTGGACGACTTTTTGTTGGGTTGAGTACTAGCCCTAAACCTTTTCCTTGGTGTACAACTTCGATGCTTCGATTTCTTTCTATAAATCCTGGCCTTATCCTTTAAGCGGCTTAAAGAGGTTACACCAACTTATCGCATGTTTGGCAGCCGACGAAGCTCGAGGCAATGAAAAAGTTTTAGTTTCGATTTCCGTCTGGCCCCTGCGAGATCGCTTTCAATTTTAATGATGATGGGTTTATTGTATGATTTCTTTTCGCCTTTGTTTATGCTGCTGCCGCTCATAACTTGTCATAAATTTGACAGCCAAACTGGCATGCGGGTCCATTATAATCGCATATATCTGAATGCGGGGAGCTCGTCTTCGTCTCTTGACGATTCCCACATAGTTTTGGATTGCAAATCATAATGACGCACTAATTGCAGCGAGTTAAAGAATTGCCGGGCGCACTTGGCTTCCTTCAATTGAGCGGCCATAAAACCGAGAGAGCCCAAAAACGGGGGCCTTTGGGAAGTAAAAGTATATTTTATTTTACGACGAAGCAATTGGCTATGAAATTAATTTTAGTGGAGGACAGAAGCTGTTAGTTGCAGTCTCCGAAGGCAGGAACTGAAATTAATGTCGCGTGCAGCCGCAAAATGAAGGAAGCGTCCCCTTTTTTTCATATTTCTCCTTTTTTCCCTGCTATTTTCCTCCCAACTTGTGTGGCACACGAGGCTATAGTGTCGTTTACCTGGCGCACTCTTTGAAGTCGTTGGCTCTTTGAAGTGCTGCTAGTCATAATCATAATAACTGCATCGGGTGGCGCCCGCTGGCCAATTAGGAAGAAGTTCTTAGAGATCACTTCGGCAAAGATCGCTGACCACTTGAGATGATTGAGCGATTCGGGCCAACGCGGGAAAACAAGACGTCATTTTGTGGCAGGTGTCTGTAAAAATGTTTAGACTTCTGCCCGAAAAGCTTGGCAAGTGTTTGATTTAGGTGGGCATGTCTTCTCCTCCGGTCGAGATTTGTTTTTCATAAACAACTTCGGGAGAAATGGAAATTTCTTTTGGCAGTTAGGAAAACACAGGAAACGGTTTACAACGGTTTAAAGTGAAGTTGGCACTTCAAAGGGCCACATTTATTTCGGCGACAATTAGCCGAACTCTTAAACGGACCCCAGTCATGCAATTGTCACATTAGATGGATGGGGCTGAAGGTGGGCAGTTTTTTCCACGCAGGGGGCGTTTGCAGTTTGATTTGCACAAAATGTTTTGACATTGCAATTTTACGCTACATTAAACATTCGAAATGGCCCAGAGTCAGTGAACCTTTGCCTGCAATAAAGGGGTAACATTTTTGGGGAATAATTAAATGAAACCCTGAGGCCTATTTAAGGGAAATTAAAAGTTTAAAATGTTTCATTTACCTAAATATTGACTTATACGGTAAAAATCCGATGGATGGAGGATTATAAATACCACCAATATAATCCAACTAATGTTCTCATCACATACTCAAAACTGACTCATCCCCTGGATAACCCCGAGGGATGGTCGATATTTTTCTAGCCTCCTCTGCTATCGATCCGTGTATTGACAGCACTCCAGCGATGAGATTAACAGATCATGCCTCCGCCGAATCATCGTCAATCACTTCCCTATCAGCAGCCTAAGTAGTTCATTAGAAACCATTAGAATGGAGACCCGGGCAGAGATTAGACGGCGTCTCGCTCTCTCTCCTCCGTTTCTCCGCGATGGGATCTCAAAGTGCCGCAATGAAAAGGCACTTGAACAGCAATTCCCTCACCTTCTCGCCCAAAGACACGGGCCCATTGTCAAGCCAATAAAACTGGTCAGCTCAGCGTTTCTCGATTCTGGGACCTCGTCTTTCTTTTTGTCCCATTCTCAGACCCACTACCATTCCCAATTCCATTCCCATTCCGATTCCCATCAGACAGACACTTATCTTTTTTTTTTTGGGGACCGGGGGGCGCTTGTAGTTGGGAGTGTAAGTGTAAGTGTAAGTAAAAGTAAATTAGATAAACGCCGAGAACGAACAATCATGCCATACAGTATGTATTTACTGGCCTTTCTTGGAGCGTTAAAATGAATCTTAATTGAACCAAAAAAGCGACGACGGCGATGGACGATCAAAGTCGGTCTGCCGCCCCTTCGACCGGTGCAGGAAATATGCCTGGTCAGAGCTCAATGAAATTGACAAATGTTTGGACAAATAGGAAAACCAAGCGATCGGTTTTCCACCCATGTTGTTTCTGTAATTAACTTGTGCAAATATTGGGAGCCGGCCAAGTAAGAGTTTATCCGGCAACCAAGGGTTTTGGGTCAAAAGTTGTAGCTAAAAATCTTTTTTTTGCCGAGTGCCTTGCCCTTTTGGGAATGTGTGTGTTGAGCCTAAGAGAGTGAGAGAAAAAGGTAAATAACAAACAGCTAAAGTTGAAGACAAGTGGAAAGGTGAGTTGCCTACACAGAAAGAAAAGTGGTCAAGTTCTAATATCAAAACCCTAATTAAAGAAAAATAAGTCCTTTAAATATTCTTATTTTGTCAGTTATCCTGCTACATTAGCCACGTTTTTGACCTGATATTTAAAAATATATATTTGAAAAAGAACATTATTTCGAAAACATTTTAGAACAATAGCCTTAGAAATCAATTTTTCATTTTATAAAAAAGTTGGACAGCCAAGTTTACATTTTTTATTCAGTGATTTTTTAAGTCTTAATTTTTTCTCCTAAAATTATTAGGTGCCAAAATACTGGAATTTTAATTAAATATTTGCTTAAAAATCACATCAAATATGTTAATAAATATTTCGTTTTGTTCAGAACATATTTGTGCCATTTTTTCAGTGTTCCCGGATGGATGGGCTTGAGGAGAAAAGTGTCTGGGAGATTGAAAGACTGCCTGATGGATGGACTGTGCAAGCAAACAGGGAAAAACCTCGGCAAACCAAACCCCGGTTTATCTGGGCGAAAAGATAAACCGAGTGCCCCGAGAATGCGCGGTAGCCGGGATGGGACAAGTGATTCAAACTAACCGAGGGACACTTGCCTGCCAATTAGCCACGGAGCAATTACGGCTGACAAGTTGTCGCCATAATTAATGAAGTGTTGTCCATATATTGTGACGGCGATCAATTGGCGAGATGTCGAACATGCAACATGTTGCAAGTTTATCACTGGCTGCGCACGCATTTCGTGTCCTCATCATGCGCCAACCACGACCGCGTTTGCCTATCAGAACGACCACCAAAAAAGCAGACAGCAGCACAGCAGCAACAGCAACGGCACAGCAGCAACACCATCGGCAACGGCAACACACGACGGTCGGCTGTCGATGATTCAGTCGAGTGCCGAACGAGCTGATAGACGCACGTGTGGCGCGGTGGTAGAAAACAGAAAAAGAAACAGAAACTCAAATCCCAAATCAGATTTCAGTCAGTTAGTTAGTCAATCTGCCTGGCAAACAAACACAACTCCCCCGTCGAATGCGAAACTCGCACAAATCAAAAGTGTTGGGAAAGCGTGAAAAACTGTTTGCATCCGGAAGGGAAACGGAAAATCTAGTGGATCCATATACAAAGCTATAGTCGTGTGTGATAACCCCTGTGATCTGTAAGCTGTAAGTGCGTAACGGCGAGTGGCCGGCCGGCCGGCCAAAAAGAAAATTCCTTAAATGCGCGGCGGCGCCTTTTCATGTGCAACGGCAGCGGAAAACCCTCGAACTTAGGCTGCCCAGATGGATGGATCGGCGGTATAAAGAAGCACTGGCGACGGCGTCGCTGGCGGTGAGCAACAAACATTGCAACTGCAACACAGGAGCAACTTCCAAACGAAACGGGTTTCCCAGCCTCGATGATCGTCGGTGGGGGGAAAATAGCGAATGGTATCGGAACGGATCGCTACGCCTTTTGATCTAGCGCTCTTCGATCGGAGAGATTCCGATTTCCCAGGAAGCCCAAAGGAAAATACCACTCGGACAAACGCACAACGCCAAAGCAAATAAATCATCTTTTGCCGCTGTAATAACAAAAGAAAAAACGTTTGAAGTGCCAATGTGAAAATTGTTCCAAGTTTTACCAACCCACTAACAAGCGAGAAAAACAAAAATGTGGTAGCCGCAAGACGGGCAAGTGGAAATCAAACGAAAAGTATTAAGCAGTCCAAAATAAGTTACACAAAAACAAAACATAATTCATGCAATTATCAAAAAATACATAATCTCAAAACAAAACAAAAACCGCATCGAATAAAATTTTAAACAATTTTTATACGGCAACATAACAATTTTATATTAACCGAAATCATTTTGACACGCATACAAAACCTAAACTTAATTATAACGCTAAAGTAATAAATATCTAATGAAGTAGAACCTTAGCCTCTAGTAATTTATTAACTAAAGTACTTACCACAAAAACATCCACAATATATCACGCCAAAAAATAGAGTATAGAAAACGCATTTAGCAAAATCCACAATTCACCAACAACCGCTTCGATAAAAAGTATAAAATAAATCAGTAGAAATGCCATCGTCAACGGGAGTATTTGTGCTAATGATCCTCACTCACCTGAGTTTGGGCCAGATGCGAAGCGAGGATCAGCTGTTGATGGTGGGCCAGAACGGGGATCTCGACAGCAGCAATCCTGCAATACACCACCAGCAACATCAGCAACAGCAGCACCACAGCAATCACAATCTGAACAATGGGAATATGAACAGCACAATACTGAATACCCTGATGGGAAGCAATGCTGGCCAGGTGGTAAACAGTTCACCGGGAGGCGGTTCGATGATCAATCAGTTGGGCAGCAGTACATCAAGTGTTCCCTCAGTGATTGGCGGAGGAGGCGTGGGCTCCGTCGGAAGCCCATGGCACTCGGGAATGGGACTAGGAGTTCCGGGCAACGGCATGGGACTACCATCGTCCCACGGTCACGGCGGCAGTTTGGGATCCCATCCCCATGGACACGCTTTGGCTGGACTGGCCAAGTTGGGAATTATAGTGCCCGGTAGCCAAGGATTACCTGGAAATCTGGGATACGGCGGAACAATGCTCACTGGAAGTGGACAAGGAGGAGGAGGAGGTGCGGGCGGAATGGGCCTAGGAATGGGCTCCGGCACTAATAACATGGATATGCAGCAAGGCCTTTACAAGTGAGTCAATCTACTGCTATTCCCCATCTTAATTGAACTGAAATCTTATCAATTGATGGAGATCTTTCACTCGGCCATCAAATTGTTTTGTCCTACGAGCGATTCTACAGTCGCTTTTTATATGGCTTTTTCTGGACCCCAACTCCAGTTGGACAATCAACGTTTACAATTATTTTCTGTGTTCGCAATTATTAAAACATGCCTACATGTTCGAGTTTAACCCATCCAGTGAACTCTGATTCGCCCGAGATTCTGATTTCTTGAATGAGCCGCATGGCCCTCGGTGAACTTTGATTACATAAAAATCGAGAATTTATGGTTAGAGCAAGTCAGATGTTGGTAATTAGGTAAATTGAAGGGCTCTGCCTTGAGCAATAAAAAGAGCTGAAGGGTTCCTTAATTAAAATATAATTTGATTAATACAAGGTCGGAGACTTGTGGTTTTTAGTACATTTTAGGAATATTCATTTCAGAATTTTATGTTCTGCCTGTTTATTAAAATGTTAAAAAAAAACTAGTAAATCCAACAAATATAAATTTAGTTTAAATAAGCATTTTACTTTTTTCGTTTATTTTTTTGAAAAATTTAGTTTTTGTTTAATATACTTTTTTAACCAATATTTAAAAAGAAAAAATTTTCTTTTATAAGCTAACAAATTTCATAAATAAATCTTTAAATATTTTGGAATCTGAAAATGTTTAAGTCCAATTTTTAATGTTCATAAACTGTTGACAATTCTTTGGAAAAATTACTGATTCGCACCAAATAAGCGTTAATTATTCTGAAAAATTTTATAATCGATTCATGATCTTCCGAGAATCGAGTCAGTATATCTCTTTTCACGGTTCTCTTGATCTTGCAAGTTATTTGCCGAGGCAAATAAATAAAAATAGCGCGAAAAGTGCAACAGTCGGCATACACATCCTCTTGGCAACCCTTTTTTAGCTTGGGCGTTAGGCCTGCGATCTTCCCGGGCTGCTAATCAGTTGCAATGCAACATACATATATACGAAAGCCACTCAGTCAGAATGGTGGGGGTCCAAGCCGGGTTTAAACAATAAAGTAAAATTATTTATATTTGTTTTGTTTTGCGTCTGGTGCTCCGCGGCTGACTTTGCTTTATTCTGCGGCTGTCAGCCAAAACCTTCTGAAAAGGGGGTGCTGCATTTGTGGGGGTTTTTCGGTTGTCAAAATGCTGCTAGCCGCCTTTTTTATGATTATTAGCAGATGCGAACAACAGGGGCAGTGGGAGAAGGGCAGCTGCGGTGGCAGAGCGTAAATTTTACTTACACTTCACCATTAATTTGCCCACTGACAGGGAAGCCGTGGTCGGGGGGCCAACAGGCAGGACCACCAGTTATTATTTGTCATTACAAAACCACCCAACAAAAGGGGGAAAACCCCATAATATCCTGGGCTCAGGAGGGATGAGATTGTGCACTGCACGGTTGTACATGAGTCACAAATATGCTCATGAATATTTTAAAAAAGATCTGGATTTCCCATTGGGGAAATAAATAATTTTAAAAATATTTTACTTATATTATTTATATTATATTATTTTATTTTTTAGATGACACAAGAAAGTAAATTTAGATAGCTATATCCGAAATACTTTGGTATAGGTATTTAATGTGAAATTAAAGAGGTCCGGCTGCTAAAACAAAATTGGCTAATTCAAAACAAGATCTTAATACTTCCGGTTTAGAGCTCACAAATTTTAAAATTCAATTACTCAATTAATGATATTAACACATTAAATACTAATGAAGGAAAAATACCTCTCTTTAATTAGTATTTTAAATATAACTAGAACGAGATTTTAAGAACAGGATTTTGAAAGCAAATTTTGTATCTTAAGCCAGAGAAAATAACTAAGCTTTTAATAATCAATTTAGAATATCTAAAGGCTTCTAGATTTTATTTGGGACATGATATTTCTGTGCGTGTAAGTTTGAAGCCTTTTTCGCAATTGGCAATTCTTTTTATTACACAAAACTCCGGTGGGGGAAAGGCTCCACTTGGAACACTTGCTGGGGTAGAAAGTGTTTCACTTATTTTGCTTTGCTATTTTTCTGTATTTTTTTGTTGTTGTATTTATTTATTTCCTTGCGAGCACATGCATTGACCCAAGCGGCCAGACGACAGAAATCGATAGACAGGGGATTCCATCCAGAAAGACCATCCAGTTCCGCTCGGTTCCAGGCCCAGCTGAATAGCCGGTCGGTGTCCATTTAGACGCGCTGCTTGATTACAATTAATCGGCTTATTTGAGCAAGACATCGTTTGCTGTTAGCTGTTTGCCATTAAACTAGATGGTAATGCGTGTGTGTCTCCCCCACTGGCCGACCCTGCAAATTCCCCGTAATTGCGAGCAGGTGCCGCAGTGGCAGTGCAAAGTGCGACTTTATTGATTTGAAATGTCAGCACGAATCGCAAAAGTCAAACCAACACTCAAAGTTGCCCAAGACACACGAAGCGATTTGCAAGGGTTTGATTTCGAAGTCAAGATGTCGGTGGATTGCATTTGTGGCTTAATGAAGTCGGTTTCGGCAGTGATTGGTGGGATTTAACCGATCAATGGGGTGTGCTAATCGTCGTGTTCCACTGACATATTCGGGACAAGCTTACATACGCATTTAGATACTCGCAATGTTACTTGTATTTTTTTATTTTTAAATAATAAGAAAAGAGATTTTTATAGATTGAGGCAGATAAAAATTAAATATACCTTTATTTATAAATATGTTATTCCTACGAAAAATAATAATAAGTCCTAAAATTTCTTTTACCAAAAAAAAAAAATGTTTTTGTGTCGAATGTTATTGGCAAATATAATAACTTTATAAAAAACAGCATTTTTTATTAATTAGTTCTTTAAAATTAATATATTTTGTATGAACTACAATATTGATTTTTCTGATTACTATAACTGAAAAATACTTTAATTTTTTTTTTTTAAGTACGCATTTTTTAAAATTCCCATAATGGATTCCATAATTATATCAATTAGGGCTTCTATGAATTGAACCTATTAAAAAGCCATTCCCCCATTAGCCGGTCACTTCAACACCTGCTTAAAGCATTTTTCCAGCCAAGCAAATCACATCGCTAACCCTTCACCAACATCTCAACTCAACAACCTAAATCAATTTCCTCGTTCCGAATTCGAAATCAAATTGTGAACGAGACTGGAGCGACTACGTGACGCCTGTTTACACAATCAATATGCACAAAATGCTGATTAGGGGATGTAATGAAAATTTAATAATTGCTGTCAGGGGGCACTCGATGATGAAGTTCCCTCTGGTTGCCCTGGCCAGGGCTCAAAGAAGGAAAAGACTGGCGCAATTAATCTCCCATGTCAGGGTTGATCTGGCACTGAGAGCTGGTAATCTAAGAACCAGAAATCCCAGAGACGGGCAAATAGAAGCCTGGAACGAGGAAGCCACGGGGTTGGTTTCAATTTCAGCCTTTTGACGGACCCAAAAGCAAAAGGCAAATAATGTAATAATGTTTGACAGTCTGCGTCTCCGTTCTCCGTCGTCTGTTGTTTTGTTAACAGACATTTATGACATTATACGGCGCAAAATTATGTTGTTACAACCCCACCGGATCTGAAATTCCGAATCAGAACCCCGAATCCGAATCCGGAACCCAGACTGGCATTGTTTTGTCCTTCTGTGATTTCATTTGCCTTACAAGCGGCAAAAATCTGTTTAATTGTGCGTAAGACAAAGTCCCTGTCCCTCCCTTCTTCCTTGCTCCTTTGGCAACTCCCGAAGTTAAATATTTGTCAAAGAGTAATTAAAACTTACTTACCGTTTCCTTGGTTGCCTCACCCGGCCTTTGTGTCCTCGCTTTCATGTCCTTACTTCATTGGGCGTCTTTATGCCAACTATGAGTGCAAGTTTCTTTCCATTGTTGTGGATAAAAACTTTCCGACTATATCATCTGTGCGAACGGCAGTTGAGCTGGAGTTCGGAGTTGGAGTTTGGAGTGTGTAACCCTGGCGGAAGCATAAAAATGCTAATTTCCAAGACCCAAGAAAAGCCTTTGTTTTTTGGCCGCAAATTATGGTCAAGTCGAGGGATTTTTCCCGGGGCCTTTCCCTCTCAGCATTGACGGTAACGATTATGTGCAAAGTTTTGTTTTTCATTCTCGTCGCAAAATTAAAAATATCCAGGGAAAATCTGCGACGACTGCAGTTGGCATCGCCATGTGGCACCGCCCGAAATTTATTTGTCTCAATAAGACGACAATGAAAATGTCGGCGGGTCTTGAGGTTAAGACTTGGAAATGGGATGGAGTTGCAGGCTGAGGAGCAGCAGCTGGACGACTTCTTGTACTTTTATATGAAAAATTAAATATCAGACAGTTTAAATATTTTTGTATTCCTTTTTAGTAAAATATAGCTGAGAAGAAGAAAGAAAATTCGGTTTTTATAACATTTATTCTTATAATTTTAAATTACATGTATCCATATTTGTTTTTTGTGTAAAATATAATTTGTTCTAAAAACCCAAATTTTACCTTAAAACTTATTTTATTGATTGCGCACATTAAACTCAAATCTTACTATCCTCAGCCTAATCCAATTTTCTGATATAATAAATTCCATTAGACTATATTTTCCAGGCAAACATTTTTATCTCAAAATTTTCCATTGAGAATGATGAGCCAATATATTAGCAATTCAATTGAACATACAGCAAGCAAAGAAATTTTCAGTGATTATACTAATAAATAACTCTTTAAATGACTCTGAAATATTCAGTGTATGCGTATATCTTCTTGAGACTTAACTTTTCCACCTTTCCTCTCAGTTAAAGCATTACCACTTCGTTGTTTTGTAAAAATATTTTCCGTAGTTTTTTTATACCCTTGCAGAGGGTATTATGATTTCAGTCAGAAGTTTGCAACGCAGTGAAGGAGACGTTTCCGACCCCATAAAGTATATATATTCTTGATCAGCAACACTAGACGAATCGATCTAGCCATGT